CAGGGTTTAGCACTGAGCTATGTTCAGACTTTTTTTTTTTTTTTTGAGTCAGGGTAAGGCTCAGTTGCTTGTGCTGCACTCAAACTTGTGATCCTGTTGCCTCAGCTTCCCAAAATGTTGGGATTCAGGTGTGCACCACCATGTCTAGCTCTGACATTTATGCTATAGCTTGAGCATCCCTCATCTGAAATGCTCTGGAATCCAACAGATTTGGAGCATTATGTTAGCCCTTGAGAAGATTTTCAAATTTGGGGCTTGTCATGCTTAACTGGTAAGTCTGTCCCAGTGTTGACAAACCTGTGACATACATGCTGCAGTGGGCTGTTTGTTATCATTGAAAACTCTAAAAGTCTTGATATCACTAGTCTATGCAAATACTCCAAAATCTGGGAGAACTTTCAAGTCTAAAATACTTCCTGTCCCAAGCATCTTGGATAAGAAGTAACCTACAGCTAAGGGAGAGAGAAGAGGGTAGAGATTATCTTGCCTCCTAGACTGAGAAGGAGCTGCTATGTAAAGACAGCAACAAATCTCTCTACTTGAAACTCAGGATGAATTTGTTTATAGAATCCTGGAGATCAGAAGCATCTGGCGGGTTATTTATTGTAGTCTCCTGAAGACACTTGCAGCCTGGCTGTGGTTAGATCCGGGAGAGTCCATCAGAACCCTTAGGCTGGGACGCTACCAGCTTCTGTGGGAGCTCCTAGAGACTCCTAGAAGGTAGTCTCTTTTCCCTTTTGAGAAGGTAGCCCCTTTTCTCCTACCAAGTAGGTCTGGAAGAATTTCAGTTCCATGTAATTTCCAAGGAAAGGATGTTCCTTGCTTTCAAGGACATTTTCTGGGTGCCTTGGGACTGTCTGCTTAAAGAGGACAGGTGGAGGGATCCTGTGTGATCAAACATTCCTTGCAACAACAAAAAATCTTTTAGGCATTGATAGTCAAGATTCTGTGAACTGAAGTGATGATTCCTGCACTTATGTGTAGATCTACATTGTGTCAGGGACTGGACTAGATTCTGCAGCAAGACCAGCATGAGCTTACTGTCTGCTGGGGAAGAGAAATAATGAAACAAAATCACAAATATAAGGGGCCAGGGAGATGGCTCAGTAGAATAAGCACTTCCCTGGCAAGCACAAGGGCCTGAGTTCAATCCCTGGTTCTGCAAAAAAAAAAAAAAAAAAAAAAGAAGAAAAAAGAAAAAGCCAACAAACATATTATGTTAGTGACAGAGGAAGCATAGCGTCCAGAGGGTGTTAATTAAAGGGACCTCTCACCTGTGCCTTTTGGACCTTAGAATCCTCAATCTTGGTAGTGGCTATGGTTTAAATTTAGACCTGTGCAGTCAAGGTGAATGACTTGAGAAAAACCAAGGAACAAGAGGATAGAACATGAAGGATATATGTACCAGATGAACATGGTAACTGATTGTGATAAAGATAAAAGGAGGACAGGCTGTTTGTTTGTTTGTTTATTTGGCGGAACCAGAGATTGAACTCAGGCCCTTGTGCTTGCCAGGGAAGCCCTTATTCTACTAAGCCATCTCCCCGGCTTCTGTGATTAATTTTTATTTAATTATAGATGTGTTTAGTATATGTTTATATATAATAATCATACTCCTCTTGGGGAGTTGGTCTATGTACATAACACACCTTGATTATTTTTTCATACCCTTCTCCTCCCCCTTCCATTTCTTAGTTTTCTTTCCATTCGAAAAAGATCTATCTCCCTATTTCTTGCTATCAACCACTTTTATTTTGGGTTTTTTATATAACAGAAATCATGCAATATTTAATCTTGTATGTCTGATTTATTTCATTTAACATTATTGTCTCAAGCTGTGTCTATTTTCCTACAAATGATTCCCTTATCTTTGTTTATGCAGAGTAGTACTCCATTGTGTACAAATGCTGCATTTTCTTTATCCATCTGTTGATGGACATATCAGCCACTTCCAAGATACTGCTGTTACAAATTGTGCTGCTATAAACATGGGTATGTGTGTATCACTGCCCTGTGATGTCTCTCTCTTTTAGCAAGAATCTAGATGGGGAATACCTGGGTTGAATTGGATTTCTATTAATTTTATGAGTAGTTTCCATATTGATTTCCATAATGGTTGTACTTAATTTACATTCCCATCAACAGTGAGATGGTCCTCCCCCCCATCTGCCCCCTTCAGCCTTGCCAATATTTGTTATTACTCAGGGAGGGCAGAAGGCAAGATCTCACTGTGTAGTTCAGGCTGGCCTTGAATTTGCCACAATCTTGCCTCAGCATCCCAAGTACTGGGAGTACAAGCGTGTGCCACCATGCCCTTCTTCTTCATCTTCGTCTTCGTCTTCGTCTTCGTCTTCATCTTCGTCCTTGTCCTCGTCCTCGTCCTCTCCCTCCCCCTCCCCTAACCCTCCCCTTCCCCTCCTCCTCCTCCTTCTCCTCCTCCTCCTTCCTCCTCCTCCTCCTCCTCCTCCTCCTCCTCCTCACCCTCCCCCCCTTCTCCTTCTTCGTCTGCAGGGTCTGCAGGGTCTGCAGGGTCTCACTATGTAGATCGGACTCATAGGCCTTTGTTCAGCATCCCAAGAGCTGGGATTACAGGCATGCACCACCATGCCCAGTCTGAATTGCAGTCTCCACGTGCCCTGGGAGTGGGGCCAGCATGGCAGGCCCAGGGATCAAACTCCTGGCCCCTGCCTTCTCTTATTATTTAATTTCTTGATGATAGCCATTCTCTCTGGAGTAAGATGGAATTTTGATGTTGCTTTAATTTGCATTTCTCTGTTGATCAGAGATGCTGAGCATTTTCTCATATACAGTGTTGGTCATTTGTACTTTTTCAGAGAAGTTTCTGTTCCATTCATTTGTCCATTTTTTAGAGGTTTCTAATTTTTTAAATTCTTTATATCTTTGAGATATTAGTCCTCTCTGAGAAATAGCTGGAAATTTTTTCCCTTCATTTTGTGGGTTATTTCTTGGCTCTGTTTGTGGTTTCCTTTGTCTGGGAGAAGCTTTTTTAATTTGATATGATCCCATTAGTTAATTTTCAGTATTTTTTCTTTTTCACATGGGATTTTTGGCATATATCTATGTCTTCAAGAGTTTTATTTATCTTCTAGCAGATTCATTGTTTTTGTTTTAGTATTTAGATCTTTGATGCATTTGACTTTATTTTAGTACATGGTAAGATACAAGCTTCTGCATATGGATAACAAATTTTCCCAACACCATTAGAGAGGCTGTCTTTCCTCCAAACTTGTTATTGACCCCTTTATTAGATATCAGATAGTTGACTGTGCCTGGAGTTGTTTCTGCATCATCGATTCTGTTCCACTGAGCCACATGTCTCTTTATTTGCTATAATTATCTGGTATATTATTTGCCTCTGTTATTTGGCATAATACCATTTTTATTATTTTATTTTTTGGCGGAACTGGGG